TTGATTGTGGTAATAATTTCACAGTGTGTACATATATCAAGTCAACATGTTGTACACAATTTAAGGGTTGACAGTTGGTGAGACAGTTACTATTGCCACTTGTGATGTCTGCATCCCATATCAGAGTGCCTAAGTTCCAGTCCTGGCTCTGCTTCCAGTTCCAGCTTCCTGCTAATGTGTACCCTTGGGGGCAGCAGGTTATGGCTCAAGTATTTGGGGTTCTACTTGGATTGAGTTTCCAGCTTCAAGGCCCTGGTTGTTGCAGCCATTTGGGGGAGTGCACCAACCAATGGAAAATCTCTCTGTCTCCATCTCTCTGTCTCTCCCTTTCAAATAAATAAGGAATTAAGACTTCAAAAAATAAACATGCAAAATTTCATTTGTCAATGATATCTCAATAAATCTGAAAAAAATTACTGGCTGCAAATAAACACTAGAAAAACGAATAAAATGACTAAAATGTACTAAGTGCTAATTGTTTTAATGTTTTGATTAGTTTACGTTCACAGCACCATTATAAAGTAAATATGGTTTTCATTCTCATTTTATAGATGAAAAACTGAAGGAGAGTGAATAAAGACTTTATCTAAGATTGCACAGTCAGTGAGTGGAACACCTTGAATTTGTACCCAGTAAATCAGGCCCCAGAGCTTGGGAAAATATCAAGTACTTGTTAATTGACAGAAGCGTTCCACACAAGCATGCATGTTTTAGGAGATATTCAAGGTACTACTCGGTGTGTTGATATAATTATACAAGATAACTAGACTCAGGGACAAAAAGGTAGACTATGACATGATCAAGAGCACATTCATTGCAATTATAGCCGATGGAACAAGGACAGAAGCCTCTGCCATTTTAGCTTCTTATTACCCCTGCCTTCTTTCAAGAGATCATTTCTGTCTCACTAACTATTGCCCCCCCCCCATTCTCCCCCAGGTTTGGAAGCCAGTGGTTCAAACCTGAAGAACCAATATGGGGAAGCTCACGTCTGCCTACTGTCCTTCCACCCCCACCCCTACATAGCCCACCTAAGATATAAAAAGGCCCATCCTACTGGGGTCTGGGCCCTCTGCCACATGTTCAAGTCTGTGTGCGCACTGGCAGTTGATCAACCTCTGCAAATTTATTTTCTTTGAATAAATTCTGTCTGGCTGCAAGTTCGTATCCTGTCTCCTCTCTGTTTCTGTCCCCTTTTTCTTACTTTTGGTGCCCTGTGTGAGGAGGCACCAATCTGCACCCCTTTTTCTTACAATGGCAACAGAAACCATGGTGCAGGGTGATAAGGAGTCAGTGGGAAGTGACAAACGTTAATAGGAATGTAGTAAACTATTTTTGGAATTTTGACTTTGAAAGAGAATAAGGAGAGAGACAGAGACCTGGATGGAGACAGAGACAGAGAAGCAAGGATAGACAAGAAAATTACTATGACTAATTGGAGATGAAGGATACATGGAAGGATTAAAATCTTCAGTTCCTTGAAACTTGAGCACATTTAAAAGTTAATGAGACGAGAAAGCATCTCATCTCAGATTTAACCCTTGAATTTTCCCATAGATTATATTCACCCCTTGTCCTTTTATTTCCACTTTGGAGCTCATAGGTGCTTCCAACATAATGTATGGTTTAAACTTAATAAACATTTAGCTATTTGTAAAGAAAGAATGGAGAAGAAAGAAATGCTAACGGATCATGGGTATTTGCTTCTCAGGGATGTAGCAGGTGGATGAAATCCTTACACATTTTCTTGTGATTATTGATCATTTACATTTCTTCTTCCATGCAGTGTTTACAAATTTTATCCTTTTAACTATACCTCTTGATGCATTAAGGTTGATGGCTCTCATAGATCCATAGATAGATAATTTCAACAGATACTTATTGGGTCTACATTATTTGACAGACACTTCAACTAAAATCTATACCTCTTTCTTCTGAGAATCAGATGTTTATGTTTCCTGGGAATATGCACATGTAGAAATAAAAGTATCACTACTCATCTCTATGTGTGTGAATTCTCAAGGATAATACTGCATGCAATCCAAAAACACCTACCCTTAAGTATTAAAATCTTTACTGGAAATATTTAACATATATATTATGTTATTATTATTATTACCACTATTATTACCAATATTTTATTACCAATTTAATACAAATAATACCAATAATATATACCAATATATTATTACCAATATTTATGTTAAGGTAAGCTAGATTTAGTAAACCTTATAGGGATTTCCTTATGTAGCTGTAACAAATAATTACAAACAACACACATTAATTATCTTATAGTGGTAGAAATCAAAAGTCCAAAATGAGTATTCTTGGGCTGGCAAAAGTTGTTGGCAGGGTCTTGGTGCCTCTGAAGGCTCTAGGGAAAAATGTATTTTTTGTCTTCCCTAGTTTCTAGTGCTTAGCTGCTTGTATTGCTTGCTTCCTGACCCTTCCTCCATCTTCAAAGCCAGAATCTTACTTTAATTGTCACATTGCCTTCTTCTTTTGTAATAAAATCTCTCTGCCTTTTTTTTAATAAGGATATTTGTCATTATGTTTAGGGCCTATCTGGATAATCCAGGATAATCTCTCCATCTCAAAATCCTTAATTTAGCCACCTTTAAAAATCTGCAACACAGGTCCCAGAGACTAGGACCTGGAAATTCTTGAAGCTCATTACCGACCCTACCACAGGCCTCCATTTTTAACTTCCATTCTTGTGGTTTTGTCTAGTAGTGTGTGGGATGCATTTTCAGTGAGTAGTTCTCATTTTAACACTTGGTTACATCCATAAAATGAGCAGTGATAACCAATATTGATTCCCCTGATTCAATGTAATTAACATGTTTCCTTCAAGAATCACATGCAGGGCACCCATTGTTAGAATGGAACGGACCATGTCAAAATAGCTATAGAGCTAGCTTCTTTTTGGGTAGTGGTGAGAAAAGTGTTTGATGCCACTTCTTCTCCAATGATTTGTGCAAAAAGGTCTTGGCGCTGCTGCTTCTTGAAATCATCATGCCATGGACATCCAAAATGCATGACAGTGTGAGAGCCCCATAAAACAGGATCAGAGGGAAATATGACAAATGAGAGATGAAGTGTATGTTAAATATTTACGGGAAGTAGAGGCTGAGCTGTCCTGCTGTGGGACATGAATTACGCACACATATATCCGCATATATGAAGAATCCAACGATTCATCCACACATACATGCATATATATGATGCTATGTTCACACACAATATTGGTGATTTTCTACTTTTTTTGGATGGATGGTGATTTCAAAAATGTGAAAAGGCAAGGGAAGGGGAGCAGGAAAGGAAAAGGAAAAGGCACAAGCAGAAGTCAATGCTAAGAGTGTGCTGTCAAGGGGCCAGCACTGTAGCACAGCAGGTTAAAGCCCCAGCCTGCAGCACCGGCATCCTATAAGGGTGTCAGTTCGAGTCCCGGCTGCTTCTCTTCTGATCCAGCTCTCTGCTATGGCCTGGGAAAGCAGTGGAAGAGGGCCCCTGTTCCCGTGTAGGAGACCCAGAAGAAGTTCCTGGTTCCTGACTTCGGATCCGTGCAGCTGCGGCCGTTGCAGCCATCTGAGGAGTGAACCAGGGGAATGGAAGGCCTCTCTGTCTCTCTCTCTCTCTCTCTGCCTCTCCTTATCTCTCTGGGTAACCTTGATTTTCAAATAAATAAAATTTTTCTTTAAAAATAAGAAGAATGTGCTGTCAACCAACGGTGGTGATGAACATGTGCATCCAAAGTCTGTATTCAGACACAGTTTAATGCTTTCCAGTTAGCTGGCTGACATTCTCTCTCTGGACAAAAACAGGTGTAATGTTGGAGGCTGTTTTGAGTTTGGAGGCAGGCCAGTGAAGACAGCAAGAAGGAAGTTGTTGAAATCAGTTTGAGAGAAATGGACTGAGGTCCCTCTGGGACATTGAGGCTGGAGGGAAAAGTCTGCAAATAGACATTTGAAACTCATCGTTGTTTATGGGGAAATGAATGAGATGATTGAGTGGGGAGACAGCCTGTGGACTGAGGAGAGAGGCGGCCCGGAGAGAACCACAGGGAATAGTGCCACTCAGGGTGGCAGCTCAGCTCCGTGGCAAGAACCGCGGCTGTCCTCCAGAGTCAGGCAGAGCTTTCCTAGAAAGCAGGCTGTGGGATTCGGAAGCTGAGCCTCCTGGCAAAGTTAAGTACCCTCTCTGATCAGCAGTCACACCTGGTAGTAATGGGCAAATGATGCTGCTGTGACATACCCTAGGTAAAAAAACTCCGGGCCAGGAAGCCTGCCCCTCCTCTTTTTCGACGACACACCTTCTCTCTTCCCAAATCTATTATGCACGGTGGGTGGGGGGCGGCTGTCCGGGGGCGCGGCGGCGGGGGGCGAGCTCCAGTGACGCGACGGTCACGTGGTTGCCGGTTTGTGCACTTGCTGTGCGGTCCGGTCCTGGCGCCCGCGCAGAACCGGCTCCCTGAGCGGTCCGGGCGGCGGGCGAGCGGCAAAAGGCCCAGGAGGCGCAGGCCTGGCCCGCGTGCCCGCAGGTCAGTGTGGGGGCGGCCGCCGGCGCGGACCCGGGACAGGGATGGAGGTGACGGCAGCGGGAGCCCTGGCTGCGGAGGCGCAGGGGCAGTGGGAGGAGGGCGCCAGGGAGCGCGCGGCGCCCTGGCAGAGACCCGGGCGGGGAACCCGGCCGCGCGGGCAGCTGCCCTCCCGACCCCCTCTGCTCCCCCATCCCTTTGAGAGCGGGCTGGGGAGGGGGCGCCCTGCAGTGCGACAGTGGGACGCGGGCACCCTGGCCACAAGCCCCCCGGCAGCCTCTGCGCCTCTGACGACGCACGGACCTCGGCGAAGAGGGCGCAAAGGGGCAGGCTGCTTCCCGCGGAGGGGGCGCGGGCGCCGCACGCAGCCGGGCAGGCCTCCCGGCGTGCTGCCCGAGGCCCGAAGAGACATGGCGGCCGGGGTGCGGGGGAAGCAGGGGAGGGGGGCGTGGGGTGAGCAGGCCCGGATCGTGCCCAGGACCGAGGCCCTGCGAGTCCTCGGAGCGCGCAGTCCCCGCCCCTGTGCCCTGCCTGTCCGCAGGTCTGCGCGTCGGTGGTGGCCAGCGCCCCGGGAGGCCTGAGAGGAGGAGCCAGCTGCGCGGAATCCCTGCAGGTCAGCGGCAGGGGAGGCTCGGGCGGGGACCCCGAAGGGTCGCCGGCGCGCAGGGCACGGCCTGGGCCGAATGCGGGCCCGCCGCCCGTGTGCCCTCCGCCTCACCGCGCGGGCGCCCTGCCCCGCCGGGCCGGTGTGGAGCAGGTGGCAGCGCCTGCCACTGGGTGGTTGGCTCAGGCGTGCGGAGCGAGGGGTGTGCAGGCGGCGCACCGGGAGGCCCGGCCAGGCGAGGGGCCCCCTCCCAGGGCGCGGGATGAAGTCGGATGCGCACCTGCCTCTGTGCCCACGTCCTGAGTCTCCCCCATCTCCTCTTTGTCTCCTCCCCTCCGCCCCTACCCCCAGCACAGGACAAGGAGGGGGCATCGCAACATGGAAACAGCCCGCAGTGAAGATGGAGGAACGCCTGCGAACCAGGGCGTGATGGCAAACGAAGAACAGCCGCAGGATGAGGGAAGGCCAGAAGTAGCTTCTACTCTGGAAGACAAGGACACGTTAGGGAACGGGGGAAAGACGGAAGATGAGGACGGGCTGAGGGATAAGGACAAGCCAGAGCATGAGGGAAAGGCCCAGGGAGGAGGAGAGGCAGGGAGAGAGGGAAAAGCGGAAGAGGGAGGCAAGTCAGAGAGCTTGGGCAAGCCAGAGAGTGAAACCAGGGCTGCAGCAAAGCGCCCGCCTGAGGACGACGTACCCAGGAAAGCCAAAAGAAAAACCAACAAGGGGCTGGCTCAGTATCTCAAGGAGTACAAAGAGTCCATACACGATATGAATTTCAGCAATGAGGACATGATCAGAGAATTTGACAATATGGCTAAGGTGGAGGATGACAGGAGAAAATGCAAACAGAAGTTGGGAGCTTTCGTGTGGATGCAAAGAAATTTACAGGACCCCTTCTACCCGAGGGGCCCAAGGGAATTCAGGGGAGGCTGCAGGGCCCCGCGAAGGGACATTGAAGACATCCCTTACGTGTAGTAAGATTTGCTAGGTCCAGTTCTTTAACCCTATGCTACTACTTGGCTTTAGATGCCCTGCCTTTTGACCCAAGTGCAGTGCTTGCTCTGTTTCAACAGGGAATTTACCCCATGGGCATTGCAAAGATGTGATGATTCTTGGAAAAACAAAGCAGTTTATAATGTCATCTCCAGAATTTATCTATTTTGGAAAAATCGTAAGTTTATAAAGTACATCCAAGTATGGGAAAAATAGGAAGTTTTGATCACCAAAAGGTTAACTGATTTTCTGAATTATGAGCTTTTGAGTGATTTCATTTCTTTGTTTCTACTCATCTGTTTATTTTTTCCTAATGAACGCAGTTCACATTTCTCCTCCAAAATAATAAAAAATCAGAAAAGTTCAAAAAATGAAAAGGGACCTTACGAGTGCACTGGGGGTGAACACATTACCTCTGAAGGAATCATCCGCAATTATCACAAGTGCATTTCTTTTATCATTTCTCAAATTGGGATTAAGATGAGCTAAAATATGCAAGGTGTATTGAGTTGGTTTCTACCTTCTCCTCTGCACCAGCAGAACTAAGACCCCAGCGGACACTTGGAGGAGGACTGGCGTCCGTCTCACCTGTACTGAGGAGTAAGTCCTGGAAACTCAATGTAGGTGCTGTCCTTCCCTGGGTAGCATAACGTCGGCAGGGAACTGTGCCCCTTCCCAAGTCGTGAACCCTCCTAAGGCTTCCAGTGCTGCTCATGGGTTGGGGTGCTCAAGGTAACCAAGCACAGCTGCTGTCTCTGGAGTTCTCACTGAGCCAAGCCAACCCCGCCCCACTCTGCAACAAGTACAAGAAGTGTGGATAAAGCCTCCACTTAGAGTCCTAGTTACTCAGTTGGGTAACACTTCAGTGATGCTTTGACCCCGATGGATTTTGGACTTTGGAGCAAAAAATTCTTTGTTGTGTTTGTTCATTTGTAAATGGCATTGCTTACAGCCATCTCTGCACCAGATTCGGATGTGGGAGACTGGGGTAAAATATGAATGGCACACACTGCTGTTCTTTTCTTTTCTTTTTTCTTTTCTTTTTTTTTTTTTTTTTTTTTTTGACAGGCAGAGTGGACAGTGAGAGAGAGAGACAGAGAGAAAGGTCTTCCTTTGCCATTGGTTCACCCTCCAATGGCCACTGCGGCTGGCGCGCTGCACCCAGCGCATTGCGCTGATCCGATGGCAGGAGCCAGGTGCTTCTCCTGGTCTCCCATGGGGTGCAGGGCCCAAGCACTTGGGCCATCCTCCACTGCACTCCCGGGCCACAGCAAAGAGCTGGCCTGAAACGGGCAACCGGGACAGAATCCGGCGCCCCAACCGGGACTAGAACCCGGTGTGCCGGCGCCGCTAGGCGGAGGATTAGCCTAGTGAGCCGCGGCGCCGGCCACTGCTGTTCTTTTCTGCCTTGTCCACTGGATTCTTTCCTTAGAGGGAATTTTCTTCTAAGAAATACTTTCCAGATTCTGCCTTACCAGATCAATAAAACATCTACTCACATCTGTGATTCTTTGAACATTGCTACTCAAGCTGTGGTCCATGGACCACCAGTATCAGCACTATCTGATAGAGAGTTAGAAATGCAGAATTTTGTGGTCATCCCTGCGGTGTAATAGGGTAAGCCTCCGGCTGTGGCGCTGGCATTCCATATGGGTGCTGGTTTATGTCCCAGTTGCTCCTCTTCCAACTCAGCTCTCTGCTGTGGCCTGGGAAAGCAGTAGAAGATGGCCCAAGTCCTTGGGCCCTTGCACCCATGTAGGGAACCCAGAAGAGGCTCCTGGCTCCTGGCTTCGGATCAGTGCAGCTCCAGCAGTTGTGGCCATCTGGGGAGTGAACCAGCGGATGGAAGACTGACCTTTCTGTCTCTCTCTTTCTCTGTCTGTAACTCTGCTTCTCTAATAAATAAATAAATCTTAAAAAAAAAGAAATGCAGAATTCTGGTCCCTACCCCAGACCTACTGAATCACAATCTTCATTTTAACAGATCTGAAAGTGATTCTTGTGTATGTTAAAGTTTGAGAAACACTCACTTGTAAATTCTCCTTGGCTTAACTTTTCCCACTTTTTCATTAAATATGTGTCTAGATTAGGACAAATACATGTGCTATATAAGACACACATCACAGGTGACTAAACAGACCCATATTTTCATACTGCATCCCTACATTGGCAGAGCCTAAGTTCCGTGGGCCAATATCCAATGCTTTTTAATGAAATAGGATAGAATAGAACAGATGGAATGGATAGCAATATTAGATTGTATTGCAGGCATGCAGAAGAGTATTGTTTAGTGAGATTTGAGTTTTTGTTATGTACAGTTATCCCTGTGCACACCTTGGGTTATAGTTAACAAACTATATATGATTGTGGAGTGCAGCTTTTTAAAAATTAAAAACCACAGTGGATTCTATTTCACAAAACACCATCTGCCCTTTATTCTGGTACACCTAGAACCCAGCACACTGCCTGACAAGTAATAGATTATTAATATATTTTTAAATAATAATAGTCAAGAGTTTTTGTCTGGCTGGCGCCGCGGCTCACTAGGCTAATCCTCCGCCTGCAGCGCCTGCACCCCGTGTTCTAGTCCCAGTCGGGGTGCCGGATTCTGTCCTGGTTGCTCCTCTTCCAGTCCAGCTCTGTGCTGTGGCCCGGGAAGGCAGTGGAGGATGGCCCAAGTGCACTTGGGCCCTGCACCTGCATAGGGAGACCAGGAGAAGCACCTGGCTCCTGGCTTCGGATCCGTGCAGCGTGCCGGCCGTGACAGCCATTTGGGGGGTGAACCAACGGAAGGAAGACCTTTCTCTCTGTCTCTCTCTCTCTCTCTCACTGTCTAACTCTGCCTGTCAAAAAAAAAAAAAGAGTTTTTGTCCAAGATCATTCCCTGCATATATTACTTCTCCAGCAGTATTTATTTGCAGTTCTAAAAGAAACAGCATATACATGAGATTGTGCCACAAATTTAAACTTTTTTCATTTTATTAATGCATTTCCTAAAATGTGTTTAATTTATTTGAAAGGCAAAAGAACAGAAATGGAAAGACAGAACTTCCACCCACTTTTTCACTCCCTCAAATGTCTAGTACTGTTGGGGTTGGGCCAGGAGGAATCCAGGAACCAAGAGCTCCATCATGGTCTCCTACATTGATGGCAGGGGTCCAAGCACTGGGGCTTCTTCTGCTGCCTTCCCTGTACTTGCATGTAGCTAGATTGGCAGTAGAGCAGCAGGGATTTGATCCCACGCTAAAATGGAATGCTGGTGTTACAGGCAGTGACTTAACCTGCTGTGCCACAATGCTGGTCTCTGTTAGTACATTTTTAAAGTTGCTAGTTTGCCATGTTAAAATCACCAGAAGACCTCATTAAAAGTGTGTACTCCTGATCAGCACTTTGGATTCACTGAGTGGAGCTCTATAACCTCCATTTTTAACAGGCTGCATAGGTAATTCTGATTTACACCAACAGCTAGTGACCACTAATTTATGTATTCATTGTGAGCTCACTCATATTAAGTGTAAAGTACACGGTAAGCAGAAGGAAAAAGTTGTAGCACTTCTATTTTTTGGAGGGAGAGATAAAGGGCTTTCTAAGTATAAAGCAGAACCTGAGAATAAGATTCCATAAAGGAAGGATTAATGTATCTCCTTCTCAGAACTTGAAAGTCTCTTTTAGAGCAAATTGTGCCCATAAACAAAAGCAAAGGTAAGATATCCCTTAATATGATGTATATCCTACTCTAGATGTCATGATAACTGTGTCAGCCAACCAGTTCTGTTGTTAAACAAAACTCATGGGATCCCAAAATGCAGTACTTGCAAATCTACACTTTATTGCAGAAAATGGGATGCAGCATAGTGGCAGCATCAAGGATATACATCATAGCCAAAAGGTGTCTCATTGCAATGGATCTGCAGTGACCAGGTATGAACCCCAGTAGTCCTCCCTCTCTATAAGACCCCTGGTAAGATGCACTCCTTTTGTACCAGGAACCACTGATGTATGCATAGAACACACTGCTGGTTATGTGGGAATATCCTTGTTATGTAGCCAGCCTTAATAGCAGGGCCTTTGACAGGGAGGTTCACATATTCCAGGTGAAAATAATCGTTTTCACTGTTGTCAACGAAGTTGACAAGCTGGCTCAAATTGCTCCATAGGTTCTCAGACCCATGCTTATAAAACAATACCCTTGGGGCTGGTGCTGTGGCATAGCAGGTAAAGCTGCCACCCGCAGTGCCGGGATCCCACATGGGCACTGGTTTGTGTCCTGGCTGCTCCTCTTCTGATCCAGCTCTCTGCTGTGGCCTGGGAAAGCAGTGGAGGATGGCCCAAGTCCTTGGACCCCTGCACCCGCATGGGAGACCCGGAAGAAGCTCCTGGCTCCTGGCTTTGGATCAGCTCAGCTCCAGCGCTTGTGGCCAATTGGGGAGTGAACTATTGGATGGAAGATATCTCTCTCTCTCTCTCTCTCTCTCACTCTCGCTCTCCTCTCTATGCGTAATACTTTCAAATAAATAAATAAATAAATATTTTAAAAATACCCTTAATCAGTGCATTTCATGATTTATTATCAGTCAGTGCCCTCCAGATACATGTCTTATTTCTATATAACAGCTCAGGCAGATTTATTCTGCTAGAGTTAACCCCTAAAGAACAATACGCCTTTACCCTTCTTCCACTATGGACAAAATTGCCAGTATTACTAAGATGACCCTTGCTCCTTAGATTAGAGTAGATTAGATTAGATTCGATGCCATTTACCCATCCTGTTAACACCACTGTTAACTATGATGCTCTGTGTCCCAGGGATGTCTGATTCATGTGAACTACATCAAAGGACGGCCTTGTCCTCTGGGACCCTGTGTTGGAGAGTGTGGTCTGGAAATTGTCCTCGCAGCTTGTTCCCTGCAGTGTCATCAAGTACTGGCAGGGTCCCTTTTTCCAAGATTCCTAGGAGGCTTTTTCCACATATGCTCTGTCTCCAACTTCCAGTAACGCCTCTTTTTCCTGTCCCTCAGGTCTACCGCTAGTAATTCCATCTTTACTAGCTAAGGGGTAATTCACTATTCCCATGGTTCTCCAGTAGTCTTCGTACATTTTTGTATATTGTCCTTTATTAAAAAAAACCCTCAACAAAGGACAAAACTGTACTTTTTTAAAAAAGTTATTTATTTATTTGAAAGTTAGAGTTACAGAGAGGGGAGAGACAGAGAGAAAGGTCTGCCTTCCACTAGTTCACTCCCAAATGGCCACAACGGCAGGAGCTACGCCGGTCCAAAGCCAGGAGCCAGGAGCTTCCTCCGGGTTTCCCACGCAGGTGCAGGGGCCCAAGCACTTGGGCCATCTTCTGCTTTCCCAGGCCATAGCAGAGGGCTGA